CCACTTGGAGCTGGCTGATGAGCGTGCGGGCCACTTAGAGGCGGCCGGTGAATATGTAGGCCACTTGGTTTGTTATTTTGGTTGCTGATTTGCGTGCGGACCACTTAGTGGTGATCGGTGAGCACGCGGGCCACCCGGCGTTGGCCGTTCTGGTGGTTCGTCGCCACGTCATCAACGTTTCACCGATTCGCTTCATGCGCTTATCGGCGTCAGATGATCCTCTTTTACTCGGACAATCCCTTTCGACTTGGATAATAGCATTTATCGCCTTCTCTTTATCTCGAGCTGTATGCGGACACCTATAGGTATTTTTAGACGCCTACAGTAAATAAATTTCAAAAATTATGATACTTGGGGAAATGTTTGTTCACATGAAAACGAACATGTTAGAGAAAATATGTTGAGCCTCGCTGCGTGACGAACCTCGTCTTTTGATGTTGAGCCTCGCTACGTGGCGAACCTCGTAGGCGAAGCTGTTAGGCGAACTTAGCATTGCAGGCGAACTTCAATATTCAGGTGAAGTCCAGTCTTGCAGGTGGGCTTCAAAACATGCTGCAAAGAACGAGTCATAACTTTCAAACCGTAAGTCGGAATTTGACAAATTATATATAAAAATTGACTATCTCAATGAGACGGAGCCAACCAAACCAACCCTAAAAGGGTTAGGTTTGCTCCTGTCAGTTTCGCCAAATTCCTTACGGTGTGAGAGATATTAGCGTTTTTATCAGTTTTGAGCTTCTTTGCTAGGAATTAAGGTAATTTTTATTACCTACAATAGAAACTATTTTTGATTATAAATAATTATAAGTTTACATTTCTAACTTCTAATGCTACATGTCTACTACGTGTACGAGCAACTAATGCTACTAGCATCATTATGCACAAACGTATACAATAGACTGAATTCTATATGCATGCTACATGATTTATGATCGAATTCCATGTGCATGCATGAAGAGAGAGATTAGAAGAAAACACTAAATTTTAAAGGATTAGAAAAACATGTTAACTTTTAGTTTGTATATAAAAATTCTATGACATTTCAAATGCACATTTAACTTTCAAACAATTGATTAGGAGTAGAAAACATATTAACCTAGAAAGTTTGAAGGAATAGAAAACATGTTAATATCTAATCAAAACATAAAGTTTCAATCTCATCAATTAAGAACATTATTTCTTATTGTGAGTGCTTTGAAAAAATTACTGAAAAGATTAGACACATATGCTTCAATGGAACTTCAAATTATACATCCAAAGATCAAATATTTACTAACCTAATTGCTAATAAATTACACATCCGAGTCACCAAAAGATAAAAAATTACTGTAAAAACTAGGTAAAGATTGGCCACACATACATATTTTAAAAAGAAATAATGGTTACCTAACCGAGTCGCATGCATCGAGGTGAATTTGAGGTTTTTTCTACTGCAGACGCGATGGAACTAGAGCAAAGTCAAACAAAGAATAATATTTTAATACTTTACATCTATTTATATATTTGTATGAGCAGCTAATAATATTATTTTTATAGAAATAATTTTCCATATGAGAATTTATATCCATTCGTATCTTTTAAGGAGGGTATAATAAAAAATTATTTAATTATTTTATTCCCACTTAAGTGAAAATATCAATTCCTTGTTAAATGGTTGGGAATGACAATTTTCACATAAAGTGAGAATTGATAAGAAGTGAGAATAGCAATTCTAGCATCTAAAAACACATCTTGTTTGGTACGCATGAATAAAGAGTTGGAATTACATTCCATTCTCACTCATTCCCACGTACCTAACGAGGCGTTAGTCTCCTGATCTCATCTTCTTAATAAGCAAGATATTGATAACTTCAATATGGAAAGGATTATGTTAATAAACATTTTATTTGAAGTTCCACCTTAAGTTTACATCCTGCACAATACTCTAATAAACAGAATTGTTTTCGGAAGTATAATGGATAATCACCTTTCCCTATTGTTATGGCATAAAATGAACTGAGTGTTAATCCTCCTCTAGGAGTCGACACGTGTCCCAAATTGGTTTCGCATCATCTCGACTCGACCCTAGGCAAGATGAGCGCAATATTCGACCCTTACCAAGAAAGGTCGAATCGAAAGACATCTTTACTCGAGCCCCGCAGTTCAAACATACCCCATCCCTCTTTATTTGGCAAGACCAGGTCGAGAACGTCCCAGTTTGAGATTATCAAGTCAAAAGGCGACCTTTGTCAGCATAGTCGCAAAGCCGAGTCAAGGGGCGATTTGTCCTCAAACTACCCGTAGACATCCGGTCATTGTCATAGTGGATGCATGGTCAGAATCATTATTACTACACACCCTAAAGTCTTCATGACTCATCACCTTACGTCAACACCATGCATCCCTAGTCACCATCACATTAAACATATAGTGACTCATCTCATTTGCAACCGACACATGTAAAGTAGTTGCTGCATGTCCGGACTTGGCCAAAGTTATATAAACACCCCCGTCAGCTGGGTATAAATAGGCACACCGCCTACTGACCACAAGTATGTAATTTCCACACGCCCAGAGAGAACTAAATCAGTTTCCTGATCCCCTTCAGATCGTAACTAACATAATTGTTGGAGGAATCACATGAGAGCCTAACTCCAGCTATCTGACGTGTTATAATTTTACATGATTCTCTTCTTATTGAGGAATTGGCCGCTAAAGGAGGTCAAGGGACCCGAGCTCTAAAGATCAGCCATTAATCCCCTGTTAAGAACACGTGCATCAACACCTATGTACCGCATAGGGAGCAAAAGCGTGTTTATCCATTAAGGAAATAAATTCTGAGGTAAAGAATTAAACATTATATTTTTGGGTTTTCCCCCAGGCTAATAGGGTCGAGTTTGCCCTTAATTTCTAGAAAAAACATTAATTTAACTGCTGGTTTACTTATTAATAAATTGAGAGATCCGTTAAAAAAGTCCAAGAGAAAAATCGTCTTCACAAACCCGAACAACACCTAGGTGGGTCCTATGAAACTGTAATCACAGTACTCGGGTGCCGATCGTAGCCGGTTTCAAAAACAAAATAAAAGATTAATAAAAAAAACAGTAAAGAACCGAGGCGTCCGTCCTTTATTCGTAAAATTACGCCTTTGACCACCTGTACCTCCCAATAAAGGCAGTAGTAGCCCTAGGCGTAGAGGCATAGGCAAAGGGAGCAGACAGAATTAAATCAATAAGTAATTAATTAAAAGTATTATTGGAATCTTCCATTAATCGAAAAAAAATCTGACCGTTGTCTCTTCGCTAAATAATCCATGAGCAGCTAAGTTACATCTCTGTCCTTTATTTATTGTATATTTTCATTCGTAACCTCAGACTTTTATCTGAGTTGGTCTCATGTATTTCACATCTGTTAGCTTACTTAATCAACTTAGCTGCTACAATTGAAAGCAAAGTACATTTTTGATATAATAAACGTAATATTAAATAAACTATATTATCTGAGCTAATTTAATGAATTTATTTCTGAATCGATATTTAGTTTAAGCTTAAAATTACATTTATGCTAAAAACTTTTTTTTATAAAGAGATGAAAAACCATATTGGGTATACTATTTTAAGAGCTTTGCTACGGGGACCCAAAATATGGGACCAATAGGAGGGACAAGTGAGGTGCCTACCTCCTATTGGATAATGAGTTGGCCATCATTAATGATGACCAACTCATTATCCAATAGGAGGGAGACATCTCACTTGTCCCCTCTATTGGTCCCATATTTTGGGTCCTTAAGGAATTAATCCTATTTTAAATGCTCATATATATTTTAATTACATTCGTTCATAAATAATTGTTTGTAAATCAAAAAAAAAGTATAACAAAAAATTCTTTTTACAATTTAATTAATTAATGTTTTTAATTTTAAAATTCTGCTCAAATATTCTTTAATTTACAAACATGAGATATGAAGATGTTCTTTCAGCTCAATTAGTCACGGATATTAGAATAAAAGTGACTATATGCTGTAACTTAATGTTGTTGTCAAATGTGATGACATTCCCTGCGTGTAGAACACACGTCAGCCAACAATTAAAAATCATTAATATATCACACAAATATTACATATAAGTGCTTTATTAGAAAATATTTCATACAAGTGTTATTTCAGAAATATTTCATATTTATTAGAAAATATTGCATACAAGTGTTATTTCAGAGAAGAAAAGTATGTATGTTTCTCTGAAAAGACTATTTTCGATACTTTATTAGAAGCTGACGTGGCGCCTACATGTCATCTCTACTTCTTGAATTTTTTTTTGCCCCTCAACGTTTGGAAGTATCTCGAAGTGGCTGAAATTAAGTCAATTTGTGAATAAAGTCATTTTTGTTATTATATGGATATTCTCATATCCAAAAAGATCATCTTTCTCCCTTCCTCACAATATTAATAATTGCTACCAAACAAAAAAAAAAATTATAAAGTGGGAGAAACATTATTTCCTCTAATTCTAAAAACTTATGGAACAAATTAAAAAAATATTTTTGCTACTTTACACTTGAAATTTTAAAAGTAATAAATTTGATCTACTTCTTACTTCTAAAACTTCAACATGGCAAAAAAAAAAAAAAAAAGCCGGGCAGTCTTCGTAAAAATCGCTCAACTAGAACTTCAATTACGAAAATATCCACTTTCGCATCGGTTTCATGCCTTTCTTTTCCCACTCTTTTTTCTATAAAGTACCGCCCTTTCCCACCTGCTCCATTTCCAGTCTCACAACAATCTCCTCACTCCGCAGCCTCTCTCTCTCTTCTCTCTTTCGTAGCGTTAGGGTTTTACTCTCTTCTACCTTCCTTTCCGCCGATGGCGAGGATAATGGATGCAGCTGCGACCGCGCGGCGGCGGCGGCGAGCTTCACGGCGATGAAGCCCCAGGTGACGTGGCGGCCCAGGAAGGCCGAGGGCGGCGGCGGAGTTCACAGGCTGGCCGCTTTCGCGGGCGGAGGAGGTTGAAGCGATCGATGTACCAAAAGGCAAGCCTGAGCAAGAGCAAGCCTAGTGTTCTCTGCGCTGAGCTCAAGCATCGGGCGGTTCCTCCTTCCTCGTCTGTGACCAGGCCGACGATTCTGCTGGGTGAGTGTTTTTCTTGGCCTCCGATCTGAATCTTTCCTCTGAGAAATTAGCGATCTTGAAATTTTAGCTAGGTTTTTTTGTTTGTTTTGTTGTTTTTTTACTCGGAAGGTCCATTTTCGTTAACAAATTTCTCCGATTCAAAGGAAAAGGGTTTTGAGTAGTGTTTCCTATGGATCTAGTATATTTTTGTTCAAATTTATGGATTTTTTTTTTAAAAAGCCCCTTCAATGACTGTGTTACTTTTGTTCGGATCTATGTGTTTAGTTCAAATTTGTGAAGTCAATCGATGGTTATCATCAATGTTTGAGTCATATTTCACATTTCTCATGGTATTTTAGTGCTGAAAAGTCATTTTGACCTAGCATCGAAGTGTTTTTATTTGCTTTTTTTTACGGAATATTTGAACAAGAACAATTTTTCACTGTAGACCTAAACCGATTTTTTATTATCAAAATCGACCGAAATTTTTTTTAATTACCAAAATCGACCCGTTTTATGCCACGTAGGCTTAAACCCATTTCCTAATTAGTCGGGGTTGCCAACCCCGACTATTTAGGAGTTGTTAAACACCAATTAGAAGCCTTAAACCTGATTTAATTGGGATTTAACAATTCCTAAACAGTCGGGGTTGGCAACCCCGACTAATTAGGAAATGAGATTAAGCCTACGTGGCATAAAACGGGTCGATTTTGATAATTAAAAAAAAATTGAGTCGGTTTTGGTAATAAAAACTCAGATCGGGTCTACAGTGAAAAATTGTTCTTTGAACAAAGTTGCTCGCTTTCTTCTTTTGCCGACATTTTTTCAAGTTTGAAGTATTTATAGCTAGTCTATTTTTGTTTACACTAATCAGCAACTGATCTGGCTATCAGCGCTGGAGGCTTGGTCCTCCGCCTGGAGACCGACGACGTGGCGCAGCGCTGGAGCTGCGATCACATCGGAGATCGCCGAGGATGAGGACGGATGCTGCGGTGGAGTTGTTGGCAAGGTGAAGGATCCCTTCGGCGTCGTTTGGATCATTTCCTCCCTCGGCAAGAAGAGGTGCGCCGAGCCTGAACCCGCTGCTTAAAAACACCCCTTCAAAGATTCCTGGTGTTTTTCGTTTGGGATGGACTACTAATTCTGGATGTTTAGTTAGTTAGTTAAGTACGGATAATTTCAAGATTGATGTTGCCTTTTTGTTGGAAACCTTTGACTGTGGTGGTCTTCACTTTTGACGGGTGGTGATGATGATCCAAATCGTATTATCTTATCTTAATCTTTTGCTTATCCTTGGCTGTGCGCATTATTATTATTATTATTATTATTATTATTATTGATGTTATGGTGCTATTTTGTCTTTTATGTGTTCTGATTTGTGCCTTTCATGGAGTTTGGAGCTGGATGGGGGTTTTAACTTTTAATGGGTTGAATTGATGGCCCGGCAGCTGTTTTCAGTTTTGCTGCTTTCGAGTTTGAATCACATGCATTAATAATCCTGATTTTATTTTAAAATAGTAGTAGTGGCCTGTGTGATTCCTCGTATCATATTTTTTGACTTCGATATTTTGGAAACTTGAAGGAGCATCTGTTCAGAGTCTTGCCTGGCTCTTCTGCTGTTGTGTCCTCTGGTTACATAGTAAGGACAAGCATGCTGTAGCTGACTTGGGGGAGGGGGTAAAAGTTAAAAAAGTTTTAGAAATATGTGATTAGCTTATTTTCTTGTGTTAAATTGATTTTTGTTACAACTCAGGTGCATTGGTATATTTTTACGGGGGCTGTTGGTTTCGCAAAAAAGAATGGGAAATCAAAGAATAGGAAACATATTTCCTAAAATAATTGTTTTTGAGGTTGTTTGGTTGATTTTAAAAAGAAGGAAATTATAAAATAGGAGATGAGATGAGATGAGTTGTCACCTTATTATTGGATGATGTGAGTGATTTTTTAAAAAAAATTGTTTTGAGGTTGTTTGGTTGGTTAAAAAAATAAGGAAATGAATTGGAGGTATATTATTGGATGATGTTTTGAGGTTGTTTGTGTTTGGTTCGTTTTTAAAAATAAGAAAATAGATGAGATGAGATGAGTTGGAGGTATATTATTGGATGATGTGACACATATTTAAGGAAATCAATTTCTTGAGATGAGTTGGAGGTATATTATTGGATGATGTGACACATATTTAAGGAAATCAATTTCTTGTTTTTTTTTGGAAATGGATGGAAAGGAAGGTTTAATGAGATGGGATGAGTTGTCACAATATTATTGTATGATGTGTATGATTTTTAAAAATGAGATAAGATGAGATGTGATGAGTTGGATGATGTGACACATTTTTTATGTTTGATTTATTTTTAAAGGTAAGAAAGGAGATGAAATGAGATGAGTTGGATGATAAAAATAATATTTTATTGGATGTTATGGGTGAGTTTTAGGGATGGAAATGGATAAAAATATTATTTTATTGATTTCCTTGTACCGATTTCCTTTTCTTTGATTTTAGGAAACCAACCAAACGGGGAAACCAACCAAACTTTCAGCAAATGCTAATTTGAACGTCTTCTAGTTCAATTCTCTTTCTCTGGCCTTATAGTTTTCTTTTCTTTTCTTTTCTTTTTACGGTCTGTTCGTTTGCCTTAAAAAAATGGGAAATCAAAGAAATAAAAAACTATTTCTAAGAAGAATTGTTTTGGGAGTGTTTGGTTTGCTAAAAAAAGAAGGAAATCAAAGAAATGAAGATAAGATGAGACGAGTTTTCATCTTATTATAGGATGATGTGAGTGTTTTTTTAAGAAAACTTGTTTTGAGATTTCTTGGTTGGCGAAAAAAATAAGGAAATGAATTATAAGAAACATATTTCTTGTAATAGGTTGTTTTCTTTTGTTTGATTATTTCTTAAAAATAAGAAAATAGATGAGATGAGATGAATTGTCATTATATTATTGGATGACGTAACCCACACTTAAGAAAATTGTTTTTCTAGTTTTAGAGAGGAAAACAAAGAAATGAAATGTTAATGAGATGAGATGAGTTGTCACAATCTTATTGGATGATGTGAGTGATTTTTAAATATGAGATGAGATGAGTTGTGTGATGTTGTGGATGAAAATATTATTTTATTAGATGTGGTGGATGTGATGGATGAGTTGTTGGATAAAAATAATATTTTATTAGATATGGTGGATGAGTTGTTGGATAAAAATAATATTTTATTAGATGTTGTGGGTGAGTTTTAGGGATGGAAATGTGTGAAATTGTACTTTTTGAGATTTCTTGGTTTTCTTTTCTTTTTTTTGGTTTTTTAGGAAATAACCGAACAGACCTAAATGACCTGCTGCAGATCCCAAGTCGTAAACCTTACATGTCTACATGTAAACAAGGACAATTTTAAAACCGTCCTATTTGCAAAAATAATCCTAAAAAACAACCTAGTTTTAAAATATTCTTTAAAACCGACCTAGTTTTAGCCCGTCTGGGTCTGTTTTGAAGAAAAAACTTACGAAACTTAACGGGATTTCACAAGCCCCGTGAAGTTTAGCAGGTATTTAACCAAGCTGTTAAACTTCACGGATCGTTTTTGACAAATGCCGGATCGGTTTTGACAAATTTTGGGGAATATGTTTGCAAATAGGACGGTTTTGAAAATTTGTCCCGTAAACAAGACGTTTAATTACTACAACTAGTAGATGGCCAGCAGTCAGGGATGGATCCATAAATGTTTTTAATTGGGATTTTTTCAGCACAAGTCTCTTAAACCATTGAAATTGCTATGAGGTTCCTCAAATCGTTGAAATCTTAAGTTACTAGGTCCCTTAAATCTTTCATATTTTGAAGTCTTAAGTTATTTTTAATCAGGTCCTCAAATCATTGAAATTGCTATTGGATTCCTTAGTTCTAATTAAAAAAAAAATAGTCCCTCCAATCAAGAATAAAATTAGCAAATAGATAGATTAATTTGAAACAATTTATGAGAATCTAGTAACTTATCCCACACTTGATTTAGGGGACTAATTTCACTGTAACGGACTAATTTCCGTTGCTACTTCCACGTTTGATTTGAGAGTGTAATTTCAAATTAACTTAATAAGGGCGAACATAATAGCAATTTCAATGATTTGATGGAATAATTTTAAAATAACCTATAAATTGAGTGACTAAGCATTTCAAAAAATCTTTTTTTCGTCGTTGGTTGATGTAAAGAAAAAGACCGTGAGTTCTATGGGTTTTAGTTAATACGAATAGGATTGCGCTTGGGCCTATTTGTGCCTTGAGGGCCCCCATTACAAATCTGTGGAGTCGCTCTTAATTTCAACTAATAGTCTCTATTTATTTAAAATTAAGCTTGTGTGGAGGCACGTGTGACGTGGCCCAGTTCCGCACTATATATTCGTCATTGCAGGCTTCTTATATGCATCGAAATGGGCTAGTGTTGCGAGGGCCATAACCTTGGCATCTATACCACGGTTGAATGTATCAAAATTACTCTTTCGAAATTGTGAGTGGGATTGGGCGTGGGCCGGGTCGACCTCTATAGTGGGCCGGGCCCGACCCGGACCGCGATATACTCGAGTCATGATTGGGCTGTCTTTAACCCTAAACCCGAGATCAGAGAAATATATCCGACCCACTATTGATCCGATCCACCATTGATCTAGCCTGACCAAGCCTGAGCCATTATTGATCCTACTTGATGCAAAAGAATGGTCACAAGGATACTAAAGAAATCTTTTTTTTTGAAGAATTTGACGAATATAATTTGGAGGAATTCCTTGAACATTAATGATTAACATGTTTTTTCTTTTTCTTTTTTGTATTTGTACTTTAAATTTAAACCAAAAGAAAGTCGTGTACATTTGTGTTTGTGATGTTTTTTGTGTGATGTTTATTTTGTGTGTGTATATATATTATTTTAACTAAAGAGTGTGTGATGTTTTTTTGTGTGATGTTTATTTTGTGTGTCTATATATATTATTTTAACTAGGGTTTTGAGGGGGGGGGGGG